TTTTAAAAAAGATTAAATTCTAGATTTAAAAAGGAGGAAGCTCAGGCTTGCAAAAGTATGTAAATTACAGTTTAAAATCAATAAGAAAAAGTTGTTTTACGGTATCGAAAAATTACTTTACTGCAGACTATGGATGTGCGAATTCTAAATATTGATATTGATGATTATTATATATGATATACGTATAAAAAAATATAAATATATATATTATATATTATATGTTTCGAGATACTTAATATAACATAATAGAATACTATCTATCATAAATTGTAATATTTCTGTATTACAGAAGTAAAGTAACCGAATAGAATATGAAAATATTTTATAGGACAGTAAAGTTAGAAATGTTATATTTGGAACATTCGATGTTTTATGTTTCATAGTTTTCTTATGACGAGTACGGAAAGCACGAAAATACGTCTAGGTCTCTAAAATTCCTGTGCTACTTTTATGCAGTCCAATTTGAAGTGTAATCAATATCGATAGAACAGGGGCCGCTTATAAATGTCTGAACTTTTGAACTTGTGACCCCGCCGGGTCAAGTTAGGCTTATTTTCGTCTTAGAAAGTTTATTTGGTTTGCAATATAAATTGTTCTAATATTCATGCGCGTCCTGTCCGTCGCTAAAGAAGGAAACCATATTTTTCCCGGTGGGTTTACACGTAAGCCTACGTGCGCCGCAAGACGATCAAAGTTTTAAGCAACGGCAAGATGTACGTTTGATTATCTTCGCCTCGAAATGTCGGGTGACGCTGCCTGAAATCACGATTTCTTAAAAAGAAAAGCAACATATCCTACGAACAACAAGAAACAAAGTTAGCACTCTAAAAAATTCAATTTTCGTCTCGAATTCTATCAATTTCGTCGCTAATGATATTGCATTTATTTTTATTTATTTTTATTTATTAATAAAAATAAATAAATGGTCGCCAATGCGGAAAGTAAGATAACAAATAATATTATATGCATAAAAAATACGCATTAAAAAATTCTCTTCTTAAAACTTTTGATTTAAACAAGGAGAATAAGGGAGAAAAGTTTTGTTCACTTTTGCTAAATTATGTAAAAAATATGGAATGTGTCGTTTTCTACGTTTTATTCCTTATCGGGCTCCTGTTTTATGCTGTAATATATGTTTCATAGTGTGAAAACCATAACGCGAAGATATCACCACAGAGAAACGGAAAACAATGTAAAATAAAAATAAACAATGGAACGTTCTGATTCAAATTGCTGGCATTATCCAAGCATAGCGTCAATCCCCTCGACGTTGTAATTACGGTAATTACGATCACGTCTGATAAAAATCCTCGAGAACACAGACTCGTGCAGGAAGCGTAAGATTGGAAATGGAGATTGATGGTAGGAAGAATTATTAAAATGTTTTTTTACTGTACTGAAGATGTTGTAGGTAGAACGAATGTACGATACCGAGTTATCATCAGCTTGGTGTGACTGTTATCTGGAAAACCGTTGATAGTAGCAGTTGCGCGGTGCAAAAACTCGCGATATGATCGATAGTGGACACCGACCGCCATAAACTGTCACGCTTATGTAAACTAATGTTAAGAGGGTTATTTATAAAGTGTGGTGGCACGTGATGAAACTTCGAACATAATTACTACGAGATCGTCGTAGAAAAATTACCGGGCCGAGTTATCGAAACAATGTACAGTAAATTCTCCCTAATCGACGCTCAGATTGTGCAGAAAAATGGACAATTTTGGAAGTGGAGATACGATTATTCGGGCTTTTCGGCTAATTTTTATAGTTGCTGATTGCCAACAATTATAAAAACGAGGTGCAATGTTCGAATAATCGTATCTTCTCTTCACAATCTCAGCGTCAATTAGGGCGAATTTACTGTACCAATCAAACAACGATCTTAGGATTTCGTTTTTGAGCATCTTTAATTTATCGAAGATAAAAATTTCATGTATAATCGTTTCTAATCAATTTAATCTCTTCTAACGAAAGCGGTGAATTGATATTTCTTTGCATACGTGTGTTACAATTGTTACACTGCGTTATGCGAGTTACTAATTTAATTTAATTAGTAACCAAAACATTATACTTATTTTTCAAGTAAATATTGCATGATTAAGAATACTTGTATTCACTTTTATTTTATCCGTTGACCGAAAAGGATTTACGTGGAATACAAAATTGTGTTCTCGTTTGAGTAATGTACACAATTATGATATTGCGTATAATATTAAAGGAACTAACTTAATATTTTTGTATCTATTTGAGATTAACGTTGATCTTCTTATTAAACTTAATCAAAATAGTTGGCCGCTTGAAATGGCTGCTGGAAAATTGGTATTCAGCTCGAACGCTTGTAATCTTGGCTCAAAAGAGACCTAAATCCTGCCGTCTGAGGATTAATACGCTTTAGATGTATTAAAAGGTTTTAAAGTTATATGCACAAGAAAGCTCGCCGAAAGAGAACGAATTTTCACGAATCAATTATAGCGGATAATATTAATCTTAGAGTCAGTATAACACTTCTTATATATGTGTCTAATGATCAAATTAATCTAAATAGTAGGAATGTAAGAAGCATACGTTACGACACGTTTTTAAAGGATGATTAGGTGTAATAAGTACACGATTGTCCGAAGTTTATGCGTGATAATGTAAAAGTGATTTAGAAGGAACAAGGAAATAAGCGAGGGTAGCTGGTGCAAGGAAAAGCGAGAGTGAAAAGGTTTGGAGAAAGGGACGAGCCGAGGGTTGCTGCCTAAAGTGGTTGGTGGTTTATGACTTCTAATTTTTACCTTTAGGCACGTAGCTGCAATTAAGGCGGAGATTTCAGAAGCTAACAAGAAAAATGACACGCTTGGTCAAGTTTGATCATTAAACTGCGAATCTTTGCGCGGATATTAATATCGTATTATACTGCATTATCATTGTGTCAACTGGAACCGTATATAAACATTTCTTCCCTCCCAAAATCCCGGCTAATTACATTCGTTTCGAGCACTGCGAATTTCGTTTAATAAGAAATTGCTGGAAACATATAGAAGATAGCAAATGTTTGAAATTCAAGCTAGCATCATTGTATAATATTGAAGCTTGAAATATGAAAATTAACATCGTGCAATAATATTTAAATTGAAGGTGTTTAAACCGAATAACATCTAACAAAGATTTAAATACTAACCAATAAATTTCATATTAATCTTAAATTATATTTTAAGTTTATCACTTCATATTTTAGCTTCAATCGAACCAAAAGGTTATACAACAAAGTGCTGTGCATTATTGATTATGTAAGTTTTCCAGAAGTTGCACTTCATTTTTCTGGAATTTATTGCATAAGCAATTTATTGCTATAACTCTGACATATAGGGTGCGCCCCGCAGGCCCCATAAAAACTTTACCACTTTATTCATTTTTATAAGGTAAAAATATTGATGAATTATCGATCGAGTCTTCGTCGATACAAGTTCGACATCGACGCATATTTTGTGAGCAGTCATTTTATTACATAAACATGGTTAATGTAAATTAACCATTAACATTAAACTAAATAGGCTTATTATTTATTGAGAACAACGGGTGTTCTGTATTTAGAATTTCGTGTAGACTTATGGATAACAAAAATTCTTTCTTTTTGATGATCCGAATAATAAGAAATTGCTTGTTGCTTCATATGGATCGAGACTGTGATAATACAAATCATCTATTGTAATTGTCGTATTGGATATTCGTACATATATGTCGCCATGGTAAGACTTGTGTAAACATATTGAAATATATGAAGAATATGAGAAAATGTTTAGGTAAAAATTTCACGATGTTTCTGTACGTTACGAATACAATAAATACTCTTCAATTGTCCTTCAGTTTGTAAAGAAAGATGAACAATTTGGAAAGAGGAGATACAATTATTCGAGCCTTGCTCAAAAACTTGCTGTTTTTATAGTTATTGACAATTAACTGTGAAACAAGTAATTATAAAAACGAGCTACGAGCCACGAATAATCGTATCTCCTCTTCTTAAATTATCCATTTTTATTTATTTATTAATTTACTGTACCTATAATCAACGTTCCATGAAAATAGGAATATTGATCCTTATAAATTTCGAATATACTTCTTCAAATTCTTTATTAAAAAGGAAGGAACTATTTTTTAAGTGGTTGAAGTGATCTAAAATACCGTACATACCAGTGTAATATGTAACATTAACGAACTTTGATCTGTGATATCTAAAAATCTGATTCTCAACTCAACATAATTTGCAGCAATTCATATCTTGATGTAAGGTATCATTTGACCCGAAAGTAAGAGTATAAATTCGGAAGTGCTAAATAGGACGAATGAAAACCTCATTTTTTGGGTCACTCATTTTCTCCACTTTCTAGAAATTCTCATGAAAACTCCTGATTAGCCTGCGGATCTTCGAGGGAAATGAAAGCTGTCCACATTAATTGCAAGAGCGTAGCACAGACAGATTTATTTCTTCTGTCAACAACTTTGATAAGTTGCGAAGAACGCAATAGTATCTTCAACCCTAGAACGACAACCTTCTATTTTCCGACACAACTGCCACTCAACATGTGCAGTAATTTCTCCCTAATTCGCGCTTAAATTGCGCACAAAAATGGACAATTTTGGAAGAGGAGATACGATTATTCGAGCCTTGAAGCTCGTTTTTATAGTAACCGATTGTCAACAGCTATAAAAACGAGCCGCAAGGCTCGAATAAATCGCATCCCCTCTTCTCAAATTGTCCATAACTGTTTACATATTCAGTGACAATTGGAGAAAATTTACTGTACATCCATTTTCGTCGTGATTGCATAAAGATCCGCAGTCCGCTCATGATTCATGATCTCGGCTGCTGACGATTGTTCAGCTGCCCTTATCGGATCATCTCCTCAGCCAATTAGACTGTCGGACACCTCGACGGGCGCTCGACTTCTTGTTTCGGTGGCGGTAGAGAGGAAGAGGCGCGTTTTCGCGAAGACAAGTGGAGTTGAAGAACTCACCTGAGTTCGCCGGCACCTCGGTGGTGTTGGCGGTTCCGTTTTGCCCGGGACTACGGGAACTGGAGGTTCTGCCGAGAGGTTCCATGCGGATCGCTTCGCTGCTTTCTCGCGTCGACGTTCCCCCTGGCATTTTGCTTTTCTCCCTCTGGCTGGGTTTTTATCCGGCGAGCGTGTTGCAAGCGCGCGGCGGAAACTTCGGGGCGGAAGGCACACGCTTCCTTGGCTCTCTATTCCCCGTGACTCTCAGCGAATTACATTCTTCGACGTTGATGCTTCCGAAGAATGACACACTTTTCACTCCCTTTCTCTCAACGGTGTATCAACCGTGCGGGAAACTGTTGCGCTGCGTGCGATTCGCGACCAATGCACTCATCATTTTCGAAAACGCGCGGCCGGGCACATACTTTCATCGGATCTATTTGCCTTAGCTCATAGACGGATATCAAGGCGAGACGATCTACTACGTTATATTGGTCCCCGTGCCTCTATAGTTACAGATTATACGTGTATAATATTTATATCTTATTACGTGTATATATACTTTTTGATGCACGTATATATTTTTATGTACGCATGTGTATATATTTTTGTATGTACGTATGTAGATATATATATATATATATGTATATATAAATAGAAAAAGCCAAGCTCGTAGTATAAAATAACTTTCGTTGCGTAATTTACATAAATGGTACAAAGAAGTTAATGGAAAAAGCGGTGCACCGAAGCTAGTGGCGATCGAGCTTCCGTTTATGCACCCGTTCCGAAATGACGGAGTCCGGCAAACTCTGTTTAGTGTAATGGCATTGGATAGTGCGTTATCGAGTTTCGTATATGGTAGTCTTGTAAATTGTAATTGATTTTCCTCCACTCTAGTTGTTAAAGGGCCCCGTTGACGAATTCGTCGAGCACGATGCTCCGTTCGAAAGTGCACCTGAAACAGATCATCGAGCAATTTACTGTGGCTCGCAAAAATTCAGTCATCAATTCGGCTCATCAATTTTCACCGGCTTTTTTTGTTTGTTGACTAGGAACTTTCGAACTGTATGGCAAGCTTGTAATGTATTTATTGTAAAATATTGTTTGTAATTACCGTAAAATATTATATCAATTTTTGTAAAACATTGTACTAATTATTGTAAAACATTGTTTTAATCATTGTGAAACATGACTTACGATTTTTATTACAATTCAACCAACAGGTTGAACGATGAAATTTATTGAGCAGTTCATTATAAGAAAATTTGTATAACTTTAAATGTAAATCAGAACTTTACAATTCTAGCGTTATTCGGATCCAGCAATATTGCTTAAGAATTAAAACATCAATGTAATTGAGAAGAATAAATTTCTTCTGTGAGCACTTTCGTGGAGCACTGCGGATAGAACATGCGTGTGAGCGTGACTGTCAGTTTGCGAGAATAACAACAGATCTTGCTGCAACAGTGACATCGTTTCTCCACGTTGTGGATCTTTATATGATTTACGAGATCTGCAAATGCATAAATGGAGGAACGCGTGTGTTCGAAAACGAACATCACATCTATTTTATTATTGCTGTAAGAAACTTTGTTTTCTCTCACGGAATATTCTATGAAACTAAATACTCATAATCTAATTATAACTTTTATTACTAGATTTATGTGTTCCCGACTTTAGCGTCACCATTCCGGGCGTGTCAAGTTGCCAAAGTGTACAAATACGACACTCGTTCGCCTACTTTTCAAGGAGGTTGATTGCTTCTAGAACAGAAGTTCGTGAAACGAGATCACTGCATCAACAAATCTATTCTGAATAAAATTGATTTCCGAAATATAAATAATATATAACAATTAATATAGTAATATATTAATATATAACAATTAATATAATAATATATTAATATATAGCAATTAATATAGTAATATATTAATATGTAACGATTAATATATAAAATATATTAATATGTAACAATTAATATATAAAATATATTAATATACAGGGTGTCCCAAAGTTATAGTACTTCCGAGAAATGAGGAGTTCCTGAGATCATTTGAAGTAAATTTTTCCTTAGCGAAAATGCAATTCGTGACTTCGTTTACGAGTTATTAACGAAAAACGAGCGCTCGAAGCCTAGTTACGTTGATTGGCTCGGCCGTCTCGCGTCAGCTGGTCTCGCCTCTCATTGGTCAGTGTTTTTCGTTGATAACTCGTAAACGAAGCCGCGGATTGTATTTTCGTTAAGGAAAAAGTTATTTGGAATAACCTCAGGAACCCCTCATTTCATGGAAGTACCATAATTTTGGGACATCCTGTATACATATTTCGAATCTTTGATACGGTTGTTTATAAAAGTATTTGCAACTTTTCAACTGAATTGTTCGCAGTTGTTCAAAATGTACCAGATTTGTAGCAATACGAAGATACTATTAGTAAAATTATGAAATAATTCAGTTTGCGCAATGTGTGCTATACGTACAGAAATAATTAATTACAAGCTTGAGCAATAAATGTTTGATTCGATCAATTTTAGAGCGTTAATAACGGAGAAGATTTAAATCATAATAATGACGCAATCAATTTTACAAAACAGAATTATGCATTNAGCCGCGGATTGTATTTTCGTTAAGGAAAAAGTTATTTGGAATAACCTCAGGAACCCCTCATTTCATGGAAGTACCATAATTTTGGGACATCCTGTATACATATTTCGAATCTTTGATACGGTTGTTTATAAAAGTATTTGCAACTTTTCAACTGAATTGTTCGCAGTTGTTCAAAATGTACCAGATTTGTAGCAATACGAAGATACTATTAGTAAAATTATGAAATAATTCAGTTTGCGCAATGTGTGCTATACGTACAGAAATAATTAATTACAAGCTTGAGCAATAAATGTTTGATTCGATCAATTTTAGAGCGTTAATAACGGAGAAGATTTAAATCATAATAATGACGCAATCAATTTTACAAAACAGAATTATGCATTATTTGGATAATGGTACACGGTTGGGTGGCTCGGTGTTCGTTTTAAGTAGAAATGACCTACAATGATCAGGAACACCTAATTCACCACTTATCCTCTACAATTTCCTGTTCTCAAGAATAATTTACTTATTTAAGAAGAAATAATTTTTATAATAGTCGTTCCAGTTGCGCGACAATGCAACATTTATAAATTTTCATTGATTTTATCGGACATACAATTATTCCGCCCCGTTACCATAATCAACCCGCGCGATGACACTGCACACGTTCCGATCGCACACCACGCAGTTTAATTTTATACCAACAACGAAGACGGTAATTATATTCACCTATATTTTCGCGGGGATTTCTTACATCTCCTTATTCAGGCAGACTCTAATGCGTGTGCACAAACCGTGCAAAAGTATTCATGCTATACATACGTGTACACTGTACACGCATATATACATATGTATGTACGAGATTAGTATTACCACGGAACTTTCGTTTTAAACGCAGCGCTGTGCTCGAGAAACCGCGCTAAAAGTTGTTGACGACGACAAGAGGATTGTTGGAATTATGAACGGCCTACTCTTTTTATTTCGCTGGCATTTAATTAAGCATTCAATGAGTCGATACTACGTGAGTGATTCGGGTGTTTCGATTTTATCAGCAACAGTTCTTATTCGTTAGCCCGTTTCGTGTTCCGATGCATGAATTGTTTAGTCAGTGACCCGGCAATAATTAATATTCCCAATATAAATTAACTACATATATTTACCTCGACGCAGTGTAGCATACTTTAAATGAGATACATCTTACACTACAGAAAATTTTCCCTAATTGACGCCCACATTGTACACAAAAATGGACAATTTGGGAAGAGAAGCTCGTTTTACCGATTTAACAAACGGCAACTCATAAATAAAATAACCCAAAAATAACCATTTTCGTGCACAATCTGTGCATCAATTGGGGAGAATTTACTGTATATATAAAAATGGGAATCATTCCTCTAAAATATAAATTGTAAGAGGATATTTCTAAAAATATTCTAATCCTTATTACAAAATAATATTTAATTCCGATCAAGGATTTATGAATTGTAAAAATAGAAATTAATTATTAACTTTTCGATACGTATTTGCAGGTAATATAATTGTGAAAATATCCTCTGGTCGAATTTAGATACGATGTAAAAATTTCAAAAGACTCGAATAATTCGATACATGTATCACATTATGTTCGATTGAAATGAAGTTTCAAAGGCTTGGTTTTAGTTGTTCTTAATGGTACGAATTTAATTATTGCTTCACAAGTGAACTTAGCTAATCAAGGAAATATTTTATATAATACTTCGATAAATTGGTTCTCAGTAAAGAACAATTTATAAACGTAGAAAAATGAGCGAAATAGGAAGTTGTTAAATTAATAATAGGCGTCCGGCGATTATTTCAATAACAGTGTACGACTGTCAATTATGATTACGTGATCGAATTCCGTGCAATCAGGCTCACTGCGACAAAGTCTAGAGTTAACAGATTTTCAACTAAAACGTTTAAATTTTACAAAACATGAAAACTTACTATTAATTTCAGACGCCGCGAACAAAATTTCTATTATTTATATTTTGGAAATGATTTAACGGGCAATTTGAAAATTTTCTAACAGGATCACCGATCCCTTTGCAAAATGGTACAACAAAATTCCAATTCTCAAATTAATAAAATACATTTCTTTCAAATACAGTCTTTTGCTCGTGAATGAATTAAACAAAGAAATTATTCGTTTTTAATAAAAATCAATTTCCTCCATCAATGTTCATGGCTCGAAACATCGAATTACAATTCTTCGATTTCGTGAGACAATTTTCCTGTCGGCACCACCGCCAAATGGAATTGGATCAAACGAAATTCCACCGCGCCAATAGACAAACATCGAATTCTACAAATCACTTACAACTTCCGATCGTTCGTTTTCTCCACGTTCTGTCGACACGAACCTTTGAACTCGATCTCGCTCGATGTACAACTCGTCGAAATAAGCGAGAAGGGTGTACAACTTTCCCATCATTCCGTCGCGGTAGTAGGGTAACAGCATTCATGTGCGCGTGTGATGCACGAACATCGTGATAGAGCGTTGACCCTGCCCAGTCAGTCCGCGGTCGAGAAATCCCTCCAAACGAACAAATGCAGCGAAAAACACTTTCCTACCACCTTCGCGCAACACTTTCCAATTCGAAACATTCGCCGACATTCCCCTGAGAGATATCGTTCGAACATTACACATCGCTTTACCACAGGATACCGAACGTGACGAACGTAAACACCGAACGTTACACCCCTGGAAGAAAGTATTCGATCAAACAAATCAAGCACCCATACAACCGTGAACACATTTCAAACGATTTTTATACATATTAAAAGTTTCTAGAATAATGCTTGTATTTATGAAAAATCAAAAAATTATCTTTTATTTATAATTGTATATTTTGAAGCAACGCATCTTAAACAACAACAAAATGTACAGATTTTAGAAATAGAAAACGGATGAATTTTCTGCTTGAGAAACGTGTCAGGGTTAACCGTAAAGGCTAACGAAGCAACAAAGGCAACGACAAAGTTCATTATAAATAAGGAAAATGTAAATATAATAACATAATATAATATAACCTTAAATATCCTGGATTTTTTTTTCAAACTTCGGAATAAGAAATCACTGATTCAAGGAAGGATTCGATCAATCACTTCGAAATTAAAGGAGATGTGAACCATTCAAGGTATTAAAAAGTATTCGAATGTTTTGTAATGCCACTTACTCATGGTTCACACGATAAATTAATTTTTTTAAACAAAAGTGGTCACTATTTTTACACAGCGTTGTGATTTTACACATCGACTGATCTTGCGGAAAATAATGATGGATATAAAAATAATAGATACCAAATTAAAAAGAAAACAGCTTCTTTCACTAGGGCGGCTAACTTCTTCTCACCCCTTCTCCTTACGGTATCCGAAGAAACAAAAAGGCGCACGAAGAAAGATGCGCAAATGAATGTACACGCATCAAAAATCGACTAAAAACAGTCGGTCACTATTTCGGTACATTGTCGCATCGTGTATCGATTAATCCTGAATTTTCTACGAATCCTATAAAACTAAATAGAGCGACAGCTTCCTCCGACAGGGTAGCGAACGGTTACTCCACCCTTCGTTTCGATTGTTTGTAAATAAGCAACAGCCCCGCGAGGAAAGGTCCGCCAGCAGATTCGCACACCCCTACTAATTCTTCGAGCAATCGCATTTACGGTTTTGATCGAACACGTTCAGGGGTGGCGGACGGCTGGGACGCGTACGGAATGTGTCGCACGATATAAACAGAACAGGTTTCGAGCGGCGGATGGGTATATTTAGAGACTGACCTCTGGGCCAGGGTGAGCCGAGGTGAGCTGATCAAGCCGGCGAGGATCTCCCTCATCGGGGAGGACATCCAGCAGCGTGTCAATCCTCTTCGCAGTCGGCCGTTCCTCCTCATCCGTGCGTCGGTTTCCTGGTTTCCGCCTCGAAACGGAGTGAGAACGCGAGGTGCCGGCTAGCGATGCATCGCAAAGGGTTTCGACATGGATAAAGGCGTCGCGAGGACGTTGACGACGGCGACGGCGACGGTGACGGCGACGACGAAAGACGACACAGGGGCGTCTATTTCCTGGAGCACACCAGTCGGCGAACGATCGAATCGCGGCGATCGCGGTCCGTGGACTCGAGATTGACTCGCGGAACTGAGTTTCCCTCGCGTAGGAAGAACAGCCAGGGCATCGTCGACGCAGCCGTCAGAACGGTGAGGATTGCACTGAGGGGAGTTTGAGAATCGAGCGTGGCTGAATTTCCGGACGCAGGGAGGCGCGGCGGTCAGGATCAGCCACAGGTTGCGCCCGCCTCGTTCACGCAGGCCGGGCATCTTGGCTGAGGGGAGGACACCCTCACCGACAGAAAGAGAAATCGATTAACTTAGGCATTCACGACTACGCGCCTCCGGCCGCGCCACCCCCCGGATTTCGATCGCTTTTCGGGGGTTGCCTCGTGCCACCACGTGTTACCGTCTAATGACCGAATTAGCTGGTCGTCGTTAAGCCGAGGGTCTTTAAGAAAAGTTCACGGATTACTGGGACGAGCAAACATTTTTTTGTTGGTTTTACCACTCCTGAATTATGGCACTTGCTGAGAAAGTAATGTGCGCGAAATCTGGAAACGATCGGACCATGGGAACCCGTGACGCATTTACGTTGTGAAGTTCACAAATATATATATATATATATATAAATTTTGGTTGTCTTAATTTATACAAAATTATTTATAATGTAGCCAAATTAATAAACATGAAAAGTAAAAAGCATTCACAAAGAGAAATACGAGTAATTTTCGTGTTTTCTATATTCTGTGGACTTGCATTGCCCAATCACTAGATTGCGGATATTATGAATGTTATGAATGCAAAACATTAAAAGCATTTAAAGGATATAAAAAGCTGTATGTATATATATATTTATTTATTATTATTATTATTATTATTATTATTATTATTATTATTATCATCATCATTAATATATATATATATATATAATAATAATGTATAATAAAATGTATAAATAAAATTAAAAATATCGTGATGCTACATAATATGCAAACAATATATGTACGAACGGAAAGATAAGCGAAGAGAAGGAAGGGGAGAACGAGAACTACTCTTTTCTTTTCTTTTCTTTTCTGTCTCACGCTATCTTAATTCGTATCTTAACGTTGCTTGGGTTTCTTTATACCTTAACATATCAATCATTTTTAACGTAAAAAGTCCTTTTTAATACTTTAATATTTTTGTTTTAGGAGTGATGTAGTAGATATCATTTATTTTACTTACGAAATATGGCAAAGTGGGCGATTATATTATGTTCTTTTTAATATATGTTTAAAAAGACATAAAATTACCTTTTTTGTGTATATATAATGCTAATGTAAATACAACACCAATACAAAATGAACACTTTTGTATATTTTTCTCGTATATAAATAAAATATAATTGAGAAGATTGAAATAATTATACATTTCAGATTTCAATAAATTACGATAGCGTACAAGCAATTTTATTAGACGTTACAACTCGTTACCGCGAATTAATTAAAAAAGAATAATGTAATATTTTAGCATCCCATAAAAAAGATATTCATTTTCGTTATTTTCTAGTCTATTAACGAACACATTTGAATAGTTTCCGATGTTAACAATATTATTTTATAAGATTTCGTTCAATTTCATAAATAAAACGCCCCTTCTACTATTTAACCCTATTTACTCTCTAAACAAGGGTCCCTAATTTATTACAAATTTTTAGTAAACTAAGCTATTATGACAAGCTAAGGGCGATATTCCTGAAAGTTTCTAGCTAAGTACTGAGCGATTAAACAGAATTCTTTTATCGGTAGGCACCCGTGCCATCCCCACTTGTCAAGCAGATTCTTTAGAAACAATATTCCTACTATTTAAGGAAGCGATACAAAGATCCCAAACCTTTAAACATTGTGTTAACGGGCACACCGCATCCGATGTGCACAACTTTGGGAGACCATCTGGAGCTAAAAGGCTATACTCACCCCTGTACCTCTCATAAATTAACTGCCACCGAAATAGTGTCGGTCCATTTGCCTTCAATTTCTACTGAAAATAATCCACGTTCCAAAGTTAAACTTTAGACATTATTTTATAAAACACTTTCAATTTATTTCATATCTTAGTTACTTAATTGAGACATTTTTGTTTCAAAATTTCGTCAGATTTTAAGGTTTTCGATGTTTTAAATTATTCGCTTTGTTTCTATATCCAAATTGAAATACATTTTAAAACCATTTACAATTGTGTAAAAACATTTTTCACTTTGCACGTCGGACCTGTTATTAACGATAATAAATAAAGGAAATAGTCGCGAACGAAGAACACCGATTGGCGATATTTATATGCGCACACGATGGATCAGCTTTCAAACGTGCTGATATCTCTCCTCTTCGTGATCATTTCCTTCAACATTCTTTATCTGTTCGTTACACGGATGCATCTCCTCTTTGTAGCCACGATGCACATCCCGCGAGACGTCGCGTCTATTTATAGAAGAAAATTGAATACAGTTATGCAATCTCACGTGGAGTTAATAAGAAGTAGATACTAGCCAGGTAACTACGACATAAATTCCATCGTGTTGTCAAACGATGCATTGATCGGACCGTTTAAAAAATGTTCAATGTCGTTGTTTTAAGAATGCTCGCGGAGCATTCTTTGCACTTTGGTTGACGTGAGATATCAGTATTTCAGGTGAGAATGTTTCCTGTGTTGCCGACTGATAACACAGATATGGTATCTGAGAAATGTGACAAAATAACGGAACAAGAAGTTGATACAGAACAATTTTATTATAGTGAACGCAGTTTCTCTGGTAGCGCTGAACCCATCACTTCAGCAGCAATATGTATGTAAGTATCAGCGCGCTGCACTACGATTATGTTATAACGTGAACATTCAGGTTTCTTCATAAAGTAAATTTATGTCAGATGTTCTTTCATTTTGGTGAAAGCGAAATTATTTTGTTTAACGGATGGAAAGTGGTAGACTGGACAGGGATCGGATGGTCAATGCTTGGAATTATTCTTTTAGTGACGTTATATGAAGGAATAAAGAGTTATCGGTGAGTGAAATTCTTCGTTGATCTTAAAGAAGTTTTTACCGAATGAAATGCTTCCACTAACTCACCTCCTTCTTTATGTATCAAGTGATCATCTTTACGTCGAGACCGCCCGTTATTCGAGACTTAGGAATAGAATACCAAGGACGTACGTAATTTGTTAACAATAAAATTCAATTTTATTCCTACAAATTAACAATCACAACGATTACAAACTAACGTTAAAAACTGCTAACATATTTTTAATTTCATTAGAATATTAATCGTCCAAATCACTTTTACATTTTTACATGGCTATGTTTTAGT